TAAGTGATTTTTTGTTTCAAAAGTTGAATCAGCTCCAAACACCTTCAAAAGTTCGATTTTTGAAAAGCTGAAAAGTGCTTTTATATTGGAGCTTTTGTTAAAAGTTGTTTTGAAAATATAAGATTGTCCTTACCATATTTTAATTTTATTTAAAAAATATAATTTTCTATAAATTATATCATATTTAAATAAAATAAATCTATAAATAATATTATTTCATATAAAAATAATCGACTACGTTTTATTCTTTTAAAAAAATATATTTTATATTAGTAATTTTTTTAGTCATTTTACATGATCTCTTATATAAAAAAGCACTTCTAATAGTTTCGCAGTCAAACAACTAATTTTTTTTATAAAAGTACCAATCTAAATGCTCCGGCTAAAAACTGCTTCTGTAAAAGATACAACAGGGCCGAACTACCCCAATGGACAACATGACAATTTATTAGTTTAAAATGCTTTCTATTTTCAAAAATAACCAAAACATAATTACACTTAAAGGCTATAGGAATACATTAATAATTAAATCTTTATTTTTTTGGAAGAAAATAATTTCTTGTACTAAATTTTGTTTATGATTATTTTTATTTTAAATTTTTGGTTTACAGTGTTATTATGTGTATTCTACTTATAATATTCTTATTCATGAGTCATAGGTTCGTTAACCATTTTTGTAAGGTTTAAGTGAAATTACAAATTATAGATCTATTGAATACTATCTCACTCACTTGTCGTACTATAAGCCAGTTCGCAAATTGAACTAAATAGACCACCAAATCGAGTTGACTAGAAAATCTTTCAAACTAAACTAGGCATACCTCAACCTCGACTCAAAAGTAAACGAGACGAGTGTAAACGAGCTCCCGACCCATGAACATGGCTCCTCTGCAACCTACTTGAGATGACCCTAATTTGAGAATCCTCATAAACTCGGACCAAAATCAGACTTGTACAATGTCGAACTTTTTTTGTAAGCTTTTCTCCTCTTTTGAACAACACGAAAATCGATAAAACATATCCAAACTCGTGAGAAGGGCCAATTGGTATATGAAACCAATCAAACAATCTCGAACTCGTGGATAAGGCCAACCGATATCGTCGATGCTCACCACAACTGGACGCATTCTTTAGTGGATAAGAGACCACTCAATTCTCCCGAATCCTCAAATGAGAGATTAAGCAAAACCATTCACTTGAACAATTGAACTTGAAAACACTCAATTTGATTAATGATAACTTGATCACAAAACACAATGGTTTGGCCTCCTTATATAGACACTCGAACCCAATTCTAAAGCAACTAGGGAAAAACAAAACCTACTTGAAAAAGGAAAACAAAAACCTTAACAAATAGTAATTTCATCAACCAGAACCTCCTTTCACACTTGACATTCCATTCACACCTTGAGAACTCTTATCCATGGTCGACCCTACTTTTCTCCCTTTGAGCCCAATTTCGTTCTACTCTTGATCCACAAAGCTCAAAAGTGTGATTGACTTTCCTTCTAGAAAATCCAAACTTGTGCCTTCCAAGTCCTTAGCCAAATAACTTGCAATTTGATCTCGAAAAGCCTTAGCCCTTGGTAGAAACCTATTTCTAGGGTTCTATCGAATGAGTTGGGAAGTTGGGAATTAATGGAGATTTAGGGATTTAGAAGAGAATTAAGGATTCAAAACAGAATTGGGGAAGAACAGAAAGAACGGCCGAAGCCTCTAGAAAGAAGGATAGACGAGATTTGAGAGAGAAAGAGATAAGGGTTTAGATAGAGATTTTGCTAATTGATTCTCCATAAAACGCAAGGTACATATTTATAACGAAAGACTGGAAAAACCTAATAGACTATCCTAATATGACTCAAATACTACTAACCATATGTAAATAAATCCTAATAATAATAATAATAATTATTATTATTATTATTATGATAATTATGATAGAACCCTGAAATTGGGTTTCTATCATCCCCTCCCCCTTGAGACCAACCTTGCCCTCGAGGGTGACCGACTCGACCCACTTTTCCTTGAACTTTCGCTTTCTTCGTTTCCAGTTGCGCTCGAGTCCATGAATGAACTTTTCTCTCGCAGCTCCAACTTGAATTAACTCTTCTCGATTCACGTGACACATGTCTCGTTTATCATGGCCGGAAAATTCTTTCTCATCCTTTTCAAAACCCAAGAAATAAGGATAAAAAAATGTTTTTCTTTATGATGTAGCTTGGGGTCTTCAAGGTAATTCTCCATGAATTGCTCCATAGATTTGGTTACGAAAATATCTCATAGCTTCTCCCAACCTGCTCTTTCTTCCTTTTTTGCTTGGCCCACAATTGCTTGAAGGAATGAGGCAGGGCCCAACCCAATGTCAAGCTTCCTTGTACCGTTCCTCCTCTCAATTTCGTGCAGGCTTGACTCGCTTACAAGCCCATCTACCATCACAACAAATCCCTCCAAATCTGCTTTCTTCAAGCCAAACCCTAAGTTGGGCTTAGGGGTGGGAAACAAAACGGGACGAGAAATGGGTACCCAATCCCATTGGAGGTCAAAGTTCATCCCATATCCCAAACCCGTACGGGTAACAGGTACCCGTTAACCCGTATGGGACGGATAACGGGTACCCAAATTACCCGTTTAATATAGGAACAAGTACAAAATCACCTGAAACATAATATTAAAATTACACATCAAACAAAATTTCCCCATAAACACGTAGCTATTATCGCCTACTCCCCTTAATCCCTGCATGAAATGATTGCTATTGTCAACATGAAATGAATGCTACTGTACACTTAAAGAACAACATGAAAATGCAAGAGAGAGGGCCAAGTGAGAGAGAGGGCCTGGTCAAGTATAGGAAATAGGACTGGGCAAGTGACTGGGCTCGGGTAGGAGGTGACTTGGGGTGGGGACTAATTGGGTTTCAGATTTGGGCTAAATGCCTAAATGAAATTTAATAAATCCTAATGGGTAATACACGTACCCAAACGGGTATTAGAGGGTAACCCACGGGTACCCGATGTTGAGATTCTTCATCCCAAATCCCATCCCGCAACAAATATAGCGGGTATTTGGGTACCCGTTTCCCGTTGCCCACCCCTAGTTGGGCTTAATTCCTTCCAGACTCAGCCCATCTTCTTTTTCTTTCACACTTATCTCCCTCAAATCATAGCCCACGTTGGACCTAGTCCGTCTCTGCAGACAGCCCATACGAGGCTCAACACTCCAATAACCCGGCCCATTGCTCTCTTGAAACTCTTTTATTCTCTCAGACTTGGCTCATGACATAAATCTCTCCCGACCCACTTCTTTCCCAACCGCGGCCCACATCCTCCCATTGGCCGGCCAAGCTCTTCATATGTTTGATCCAAGGTTTGGCCTCTCCAAACAAGTGATTCAATCGGCCCGACCCAAAGCAAACACCTTGAGCTTCTTCTTCAAAGCCAGTCCATGTCCAAGGTAGATTACCTCTACCCGGCCCGCTCACGCTGACCCATCTCGACCGATGTCCCAGACCGTTCGGCCCAATGGAATGGCTTGCCGCTGTAGTGCGCAGTCTAGGGTTGTACGAGAAGGAAATCCAGAACCGTCAATCTCTTCCTTTGACTTCTTACCCCTCATCGTGTCAGCTGCCTTCGTAGCTCCCATCTCCGCCGGCAAGCAGACCACCCGGCGGCGGTTAGGAGGTGAGCCAGCTTCCGCCACGATCGCGATTGTCGCGCGGTCACCCGACTCCGACGCTTCTTCCTTCTGCAGCTCCCGCCTCGCCTGTGCCGCTTTCTTCTTCTCTGGCTACACGATTCTCCATTCCAACGAAGGCTCCTTTCCAGGTTTTCTTCGCGTCTCACCCGTTGACCAGCGCGCCCCGTGGAGCCCTCCTCGGTTGCCGTTTCAGTGGCTCGAGCTGGGAACCCGACGCCGCCACTGCCTCTCCCCGTCGAACGGTGCAGACACGGAGCTCCGTCGATCTCGAGCGACTCCCAGTGCTTCTGGTCGCCCTAGCCTCTCCAGTCAGGAGTGACGGCGAGTTCAATGCCGCTGTCGAAGGATCCTTGTGAATTTGCTCCGCCGTTTTAACCTTCAGGAGCTTCCACATTTGTCTCTTCTTCCTGAATTTCCAGCCATCAATTGGAGTTTTCCAATAGGATTGGGTTCGTTCTAGGATTTACCTTCTCCCCTTCCAGATTCGATGCAGGCTCCTTGGCGCTCCATGCGGCAGCCGAAGCCGCTATGGATTGCTCCCCTACAATCGCCTCAAAGGAAGACGTCGGGGTTTGTTGAGTCTCCTCCGCTGATTTCTTCTTCGATAGTACCTCACTCTCCACCGGCGTCGAGTACTTTCCCTGGTGGTCGGTGGTTGGCACAGCGTTAATTGGCGGAGGTTTTGTCTTGGCTTCATAACTCGACGGGTTGTTGGTGGTAGTTGAAAGCAGCGAATCAAAAAGCCCTGTAGTGGTCGTCAGAAGCGGCTGCTAGTCGCTAAAGTCTTTCACGGCCGGATCATCTTCTTCGACTACAACTGGGGGAATTATGCTTGGAACCTGGACGTTGAGATTGCATATTCCGAAGCCAGCGCTGCAGTGTGCAACATTGTAGAATTCCTCGAGTTCGATGTGCCTCTTGAAACGGATCCATCTATGATCGTAACCCAATGGACGCTCTGCCGTAATAATCAGCTCATTCAATGACGTTCTCTGTACCTCTATGTGCTCTCTCTCGAACCTAGGCAAGAAGAAGGAGAAGCGAACATACCGACGATACTCCATCCTAGTGATGCTTGGTTCGAGGTCTTCAAACACACGTTCGTCCCTGGTTGAGAGTTGTGACGAACTCAGATTCGTGACCATGGCTCTGATACCAATTACCAAATGATAGAAATCTATTTCTAGGGTTCTATCGAATGGGTCGGGAAATTGGGAATTGATGGAGATTTAGGGATTTAGAAGAGAATTAGGGATTCAAAACAGAATTGGGGAAGAACAAGAAGAACGCCGAAGCCTTTAGAAAGAAGGATAGACGAGATTTGAGAGAGACAGAGATTAAGGTTTAGATAGAGATTCTGCTAATAGATTCTCAATAAAACGCAAGGTACATATTTATAACGAAAGACTGGAAAAACCTAATAGACTATCCTAATATGACTCAAATACTACAAACCATATCTAAATGAATCATAATACTAATAATAATGATAATTATGAAAAAATCCGGGAATTGGGTTTCTATCATGATCCTTCATCTTAAGCAAGCTTGGTCTTGATGACCTCACCACTACTCTCTCTCCTGAGTATCATTGAACTTAGAGGGAAACAACAACTCAACAAGGGTCCAGTCTCCAAAATTCCGAACATAAAGCATGACTGCCAAATAGCCCTTGGCCGCCACGATTTCGAGATATGAACCGAAGGTATTTAATTCAACGGCATATTCTCCTCAAGCTTCTTACAAGCTTAACGAGTAGTCTATAAGTCTTGTGTTTGTAGCCCTATGAATATCCTCCCCTGTTGACGAGATTCCACTTAGCGGACGATAAAAAACTGGTTACAAGTGCCATGACGGAGATCAACAGGAAAGAAATTTACCCCTATTATACATATAGATCCACCGGTGGAGCACTGTTTTTGCTCATATTGAGGTTTCCACACCTCTACCAACCTCACCTCCCAGTACGCTGTTTGATGCATTCTCTGACGTTTCCGATTCTGTAACATTTTGAGTCCGAGAATCGGTAGGGTTGTGATCACCTGATAGGCAAGTTCTAGAGCCCGAAAAGTTTTGTTGATCATCTCTTGGTGTCTCAGAGAGGAAGCTCATTTGCTGTTCTTCTGATTCACCCTTGCATTCCAGTGGGAGCTTGGAAGAAACAGGTGGTGACTCAGGAGTATCAGGAAGTTTTCCAGGCAGTTCCCGAGGTCTATGAAAGAGCAAATGAGCCACGATTCGATCGATTGGGTTGGTCTTGGTTTCTTCTTCAAGTATCATGGTACTCCTACAACAATGTAGAATAGAGTTCATAATAGCATCAAAGTAGGCTTTTGAAAACTAAAACAAGCCAAATGACCTGGATATGACCATGTGAGCTTGAGTAATGTATATTTCCGCCAACCTGTCATGACCACTGGTAGCTTTCTGTTTAACAGCAAGCTCATCCTTGCAACTGATGTTAGTACATCTAGTTTCGTTCACAGAATGCCTTAGCGTTGCACTTTGAGCCAAGCGAAACAAGCTATCTCGTATGCAAAGTCGAATCCTGACATCCAACTGCAGCCAAAATATCACCATTATAAAAAAAAAAAAAAAATGCAGCCAAAATATATGGGATTTGGCATTGGCGTTGGTCTATTGCTCATTCAGCAAACAAAAATGGAATCATGTCAAGCCCAGCATGCATACCTTTGCAATTATATCTTGAAGCTGGTGAAGGGTTGACTCTTCTGTTCCATAGTGTTTCACAGGGAGAGACGCCATACTAGAATCATCCTGTGCAAGTGGTGATTCCAGCTCAAAAGTAGATAAGCTACTTGGGTCCTCAGCTTCTACTAGATCAGCTCCGCCACTACTGTGCTGAACTTGAGTTTCCTCCCATGCTCTTTTGTTGATGGAATGATCTCGGCATGGAACTTGATGATTAACAAACTGCTGTTGCTGTTTCTGAATGGCAAGCATAGCCCGCATCTGCTGCCGCCTCCTTAATTTTTCAATTTTTTCCTGAGATGTCATCATCTTACCTTTCCCTGCAGTGCTGTTGAAATTGTTTATGGAGGTTTGATTTGTCGACACATCATAGCCAGGAGGCACAGACTGATGCTTGAATTCCAATGACTGAGCATGAGATATCACAGGCACAGATGAACAGTTTGTTAGATTAGCATTCCCATATCCAGAGGAGGCCACAAAAGGACTGGAGAATTGCATTTGCTGTCTGAGAACTGGAGAAGGAGAAGATTGCACTATGAGCGGTGCAACTAAATCCTTGAATTGACTAGGAGGAGTTCCCGATGTATTCCAGTTATGATATGCAGTTGGGCATGAGTTCACTTGACTTTTCTGTATCATCTTTTTCCGACCTTTCAAGTTTTTCTTTTGCTTGTGGACCTATTTGCACAAATTAAACAAACAAGAAGAAAAGGTAACTGTTAGCTTCACAACCTTACATCTTGTGCAAGATCGGCATGATCCAGTTAATTAACGGGGCATTGGACATTTTCAAATTGATAAATGCTTTCAAATTTTGGAGCTTCAGAAAAGCCAACTGCTGATTTCATATTCCCTAATGTCATATTCAGGCGACCATAGAGGATTGGAGATGACCTGATAAAACATAATGAAAACAATCAAGCCTAACAGTGATTGTAGTGCCTACTGCCGAGAGTTGTGTCAGTATGGCTGGACAGGATTGGAATGTAATATTTAGAAATCCTGTCCAGTTTCTTCAATTGGTAGCCAAACCTGGACTGGATCGAGATTTTTTCAGCATAAGTGCTGCTTTATCCATCTCAAATATGTTCAGCACAAGCAATTCTATGTATCACATGTCGAGCATTATACTAATTAACATTCTCACAAATCCACCGAGAGAGGAGCTACCTTATCCGCCAATTTATTTGACATTACAGCACTTTCCACCGTTAGCCGTGAGTTCACTGCAGTATCCCTTAGTTGTCCTTTCAAATCTGTCTGAAAAACAGTGAAAAGAACAAACATTTGAGATTCCATAACACAAATAAGTAAATGAGATATCCATTGTTCACAAATTTACTTTCAGCACCTGCTCATTAACAGTGATATCACTTTCAGCGCCACCATTTTCTGCGGACTTCCCAGTGGCATGTGCACTCTGTGCAGCAGAAGATGTGTGATCAGTCACTCCCGCATAACCAGGGGCAAACTGCTGCTCAAACTGCTCGGATGTACCCCCTGGGACCCCTACTTTTAAACTGGGAGGCTCCGAGGATAGGGGTAAGTATTTCTCTGGGCTACTTGGCACTTCTTTCGAGGAAGACCACAGCCCTTCAGAAGTACCAAGATTTACGTTCCCAAAAATGGAATCATCGTTGCTGGCAAAATCAAAACACTTGTTAGGATACTAAACTAGATGGTTATTATTACACAAATATTGGACTGTATATCTTAATGCAGCTCCTCAAAACAACAAACAGAACTTTATGAAGATGAACTGGGCAGTCATAATATGACCCAGAATTCCAAATTTTGAAACATGGATTACCTGAAAATTCGATCAAGGTCATCAAAGCTTCCAATATCAGCCCAACTGTAATCAACAAAGCCAGCTTGTTCCTCACCTTCATCAGGATTTTGGTAAATTTCAAGGTCTTTATTGGCCTTGGTCGCCTCTACTGCAATCAGAACCTCACATTAGAGTGCCTACATCCTATAGGAAAAAAGTATCTTTAATTGCTTTTATATTTTAAATGTGATATATCACCACCTCCAGAAGAGTCAAATTTGGTAATCTCACTTAAACTAGACCCAGAAGTTTCAAAGGAATCCTGATTAATTTTGGCAGGCCAAGGGTCCATGTGATATCCTGAGGTTGAAGTTCCTTCACTATTGTGGACGTTTGAAGTGCTCTTCGGCTTTTCGCCATTGGTAGCAACGTCAGTTGCAAAAGCTTTCTGCTCCTCTAGCTTATTGTTACTAGCTTCATGAGTCCATTCCCTCTTTCTGCTATAAGCTTCACTTGCCCCTGGATAAGGTACGATATGGTTGTCACTGCCCTCAGCTGCATCCCATATTATGCTTGTTAACTGCAAATCAAGTGGCAAGGGTTATCTACCCACAACAAACAACAGAGATGATTCTTAAAGTTCTTCAAACAGATTAGAACTCTCGTAAGTTCTCTGTGAAGAATAAATACTATACAGCCAGTCAGTTGTGTATGTGTATTGCGAATTGTTTCATTTGTTAGTACCTAGAATTTAAGTTGGAAAAGTAGCTCAAACAAACACAATGTTTAAGTCTAAATTTTACGAACAACTATTCATTGCAAGTGCTACATTACCCAAAAAAACACTTTGTCCCTTGAAATAAGAATTGATTCTCAATGATATAATCTAAACTGACATTTTATAAGCTACATTCATTTTTTTTTATTACTGATCAATTATGCTATTACTTCAAACCCTATTTCAGATCACGTCAACGATACTTCTTATGCAAAATCATAACAAACATCATTCTCCTTAACTTCTAATATAGCTAAAGTTCAAGTTCCTAGAATTTGAAAAAAAAAAAAAAACAGACTAACACAGCCATTTTTTCCCCATCATTCATGTGTGAGTTAGCACTTAGCAGTAAATATTTCAGATGCAGTATTTGATGTACTAAAACTCAATTACTCGAATGATTTTTGTTTTCCAGACAACTAAACAAGTCGACGGTGCAGCAGCTTACCCCATTGTTGGTGCTGATGTATGCATAAATAGCAGTTATATGGTGAGCAGACGAAGAATGAAATTATGTCAAATCCTCAAGTGAGTTAATTGAAGCATTGTATCTCATTTGGGCAGAATCAAAAGTTTTAGAACACCTTCACATGGTAAGCATTTGTTCCGATCCTAACAGTTTGCCTCTCACCATTTCTCTACATTCTTTTGTACTTCCCCTTACCCTCCAGTCAGCTTCCAATCTCTGCTCCCATTTCTGAAAGAGAAAGAGAAAGATCATTTTCCTAGGTTCCACGTATTTCTATTTCAATAAACTCTCCATAATGGTTTGCACGCACCCACGGAAATCCAGCACACATTTCACTACTAGAAACAGTCATTAGTGGGCTGCCCAGCCCACAGAACTCGGTTCATCCTCAAAATTTTAGAGCACCTTCCAACTCTAACCTATAACTTATTAGAATCAGGCCATATCCAATCCTCAGACGAAGAATGACTACCTGAATCTCAATGTGTAGCTCAAGTTTTTGGAATCCCTCAGATTTTGGAACTACAGTTAAAACGATTATCTGCTTTCTCTTCTAGTTTCACATATAATCCACCTCTAGTCCTCAACGAAGGAAGGCATGTCACTCTATTGTTGCGACATAAAAGTTTCAGGGAACTGCTTTTACCCAGATAACTCCATTAGTGAAAAGATTATTTACAGCAGAAATCCTACAAACACTTAATTCTAACCATCGAAAGGTTAGTTTGGGCAACTTATAAAGATCTCAGAGTGAATGTCAAAATACTGCCATCCGTCATTCAATAGTTCAGAGACAGTTATTGTATCACTACCTAAAGTACTCTTTCCATCTGAATTCCATATATAGATGCAGCTTCCCAAGAGTTCAGATCAACCATACCATAACATGAAATGGGACATTGCTAACAATCTGCCAAAAAACAACCACAGACTTCCCACCAGAGTTTATCTCAAAGCCAAAGGAGATTCCTAGGGAAGACCGACACTAGCTTATTTCAGAAATCCACGTTGACCATCCATCCTACTAAAAGACAGCAATCTGAGCTGTAAACCATTCAGGAAACTCCATTACCATGCCAGGATCTAGGTCTTTCATCGCCTCATCTCATGTTTAGCAATCAGAAAAAGCACAAGAACACCGAGAAAACAAAGGCACGACTGAGTGATTCTGAGGAACGAAGAACACCCGGAGAAGTAGAGAGAAGCAGTAAATGAAGCGAGAAGAGTAGACAATCAATTCAAAGAAAGGGTTACCTCTTCGTCGTTCCAATCAAACATAGCTGTACAAAAGGACCACAAAGTCGCAACCCGATTGATAGACACGATCTGGGCTTATTGCACACATCGCCAATTCCTCAAGAAAAACCGAAGAAGAAATAGAAACGTCAAGTAACCATAAAATCAACTAGCTAAAAGCATCTTGAAACAATGGAAAATTCTCGAGGAAACAAATGGAAAAAGTGGAAAACCCAAAAATTAATCAAGCCGCTGAAAAAAAATCAACAAATCCGCAAGCTCGTCCACTCACTGAGCGAAAAAGGAACACACTCGGGGAAGGCAAGGTGGAGGCATGCCAATCAAAGAAGCCTAGAACAGTAAAACTTGAGTTTGTCGGAGCGGAGGGAAGGAGAGAGACGAGAAAGAGGCCTGGTCACGTGAGGGTCACGTGGAAGCGGTGACCTGACTGGGCGACACGTGGTTAGGAGCGCAGCGCAGTATCTAAAGGAGTGGCCAGGAGGAGGCAGCAAATCAAATGGTGGAATGTGATTGGATAGCGGTGGTGTTTTGTCTCATTTTACATTTTCTTCCTCTGGGATCTTAATTGTGGTGGAGGTTCATCGCTGAGTCCTTCTCGATTTTTCTTTCTGCGGGTAGGCTGCTAGTGGGTCCCTATCTGAGCAAGTGGCATTGTATTGTGTTTATTTTTTTTTTCCGGTAATTAGTGGATTCCATTAAAGCACACTCGATGCAACGAGCATGAGTCGAAAAATACAAGACAGCAAATAAACTGCCTACAGCAAACTCCTACAGAAACTTGAAGCTAGCTACTAGAAGAGATGATCCTGTACAGGTCAGGAATTCTCTGTAACATAATCTGAAATTCTATGCTGCCATTACAAAATAAAAACATTTCCTCCCTTGTAAGTGAGGCCAGCAACTCGGGTTGCTTCATAGCAGCCCCAAAAACCCTGCTGCAACGTTCACGCCAGATGGTCGCAATAGTCCAGCACCAAATAGAACACTCCAACAAGCTCCTGTTATCATTCCTAGCAGCTTTGCGTGACATATCTAGAACCAAATCATCCCATTTGGTAGGTAATTGAATGGTAGTTCGAAACAGGGAAGATAGGTAAGCCAAAGTAAATGGGCACTCACAAAATAAATGGTCCCTCGACTCACTGGATAAGTTGCAGAGAGGGCAACTATCATCCGCGGCAACGCCCCACGCTTTCAGCTTGTCTCTTGTGGGGATGCGATTGATTAGAACGAGCCAAGTCAAGATTCTGCACCTGGGGAGAGTGAATTTGCCCCATATAATCTTCCACCAGGCCACACATGGGTGCCTGGAACGCAGAGTACTCCAAACAGTGGACACAGAGAATCGAACCATCTTCTTCCCAAGCCATGTAACATCACCAGCAGTATCCTTCCCCATTCTGTATTGCAGCCAAGATCGAATTTTGAGGACCTGTTGCCAAGTCCATGAACCAGCAACCGTTCTCTTAACCTCCCAAATCGAAAAGCCTCGAAGACGGTATCGTGTGATCCAAGCCACCCAGAAGCTACCTCCCTGCATAAGAATGAGCCATAGGAGCCGAGCAACACAGGCCACATTCCAAGTGACTAAATCCTTCAAGCCCAGTCCTCCTTCCTTCTTCGGCAGAGCAATGTGTTCCCACGCTACCTTAGCCCTTCTTGTCTTGTCTCCATGCCAAAGAAAATCAGAACAAGCCTTCTGCACAGCCTTAATAACCTTCTTAGGGATGATAAAAACCGCCATCCAGTAATGAACCAGAGAATACAAAACTGATTCGATAATCTGAAGCCTACCACCATAAGATAGGGTATTTGCTCGCCAACTACGAATCCGCTTGGTCAGCTTATCCACTAGCAACGCACAGTCAAGGCTAGAAAGCTTACCTGAGGTAAGAGGCAAGCCCAAATAACGAACCGGGAGACGCCCTTCTTTGAAGCCAGAAACATGTAAAGCAATGGCCTTATACTGATGCGCCTGTCCACCAAAAAAGACTTCGCACATATCAGGGTTGCATTGCAACCCTGAGAGATGATAAAACCTGTCCAAACTTTGACGAACACCAGACAACGCTCTTGCCGACCCTTCGGTGAAAATCAGAAGGTCGTCGGCGAAACATAGATGGGTGAGGTCAACTCGTTTACATTGAGGGTGGAAGGGGATCAGTCCTGTTGCTGCAGCTCGGTTCAACATACCGGAAAGCGACTCCATAGCGATGGTGAACAGGTAGGGGGAGAGAGGGTCCCCCTGCCTGACACCTTTTGTAGACTGAAAGAACCCAAACAAGCTACCCTGAATCGATACGCTGAAGAAGGCAGAATTCAAACAAACCTGAATCCACTCAATGAAAACCTGTGGGAAACCCATAAGAACCAGAACACAAGAGAGATAACCCCAGTGCACAGAGTCGAAGGCCTTCCTGAGGTCAATTTTTACTGCACATCTGGAAGAAATGTGAAGTCTGTGGTAATTCTGAACAACTTCCTGGGCCATTAAGATGTTTTCAAGGATACTTCGCCCCTGGATAAATGCTGACTGGTTACGGCTGATAACAAAGGGCAGTACAGACCTGAGTCTGTTGGCCAACACTTTGGCAACAATTTTGTATAAGATGTTGATACAGGCTATTGGTCGGAAGGAACCCATACAATCTGCATTAGGAGTCTTGGGAACCAAAGTCTTGTGTTTATTTTATCCCACACGTTTCGTGGACTTTTTAATCAGCGAAAACATAAAGCCCGTTTGGATTAGTGATTCTATAATGAGGCTCTCCACTAAAAAATCTAGAAATTTAAAACGTACAGGTACAACACAATCACTCCTTTATTTATTAATAGGCAAATTACTGCTGTATATCCATTATCCACAACTATCAGGTTTGTAACAAATATATCCACAACTATTGAAGAAGAAGAACGATCTGTCTAAAACCCTTTTCTCATCACCCTTCGATTTCGACTGGTGATGATTAACGCCACTGTTTGTACTCAAATATGATAACCAGGCAATGCGCGACCAACGGTCCTCCTGCCTTGTCTGGTTTTGGGTTCTGATTTGTGCTGGAGTTTTGGAGTTTTACCTCAAACTCGTTCGTCGAAACCCTACTTTCGAGTTTGGCTGCTTCCCTTCATTGTGGAATTTGACGACGATGCTAACGTTACGAAGCCAAGTTCACCATTATTGGCGAGGTCTCTGAGTCTGGCTAAGCAACAAAGACGAAGTCAGCGCGTCGCTAATCGGCGAGGCCGCCATGAATTGATGAGGTTCACGAGGACGAATCAGTGAGGTCGAGCTGCAAGATAGATTGGCGAGGTCGACGAAGTTTGTGGCCTAATTGAGGGCTACTTTTATCGAGAAAGAGGGTTTGGAGGAAGGGAATGAGGGCAAATTGCTATTTAGCAAGATTGTCAACCCGCGGGTTGACCCAGACCCGGTCGAACTAGTGGGTCAAGGGTCAACGGATCACCCGTTTTAGCTCGGAAACATGGAAAGTTAGTGGGTCAAGGGTTAACGGGTCACCCGTTTTAGCTCGGAAACATGGAAAGTTATTATATTGTACTTATCTTGATAAATTATATCAAATCTTATCTAACATATGAGTAATAACATATAACATTACACCAAAGTAACATGTCGTAATTAGATCCAACATATAGTGAAAATTCACACACACTTATATAACATCAATATTCAAATGTTCAACTAAGGATTCCAAAAATTGGGTTAGGCGAAAAGAAAAATCGAAAAATAGGCACATTTCGCAAACCAATGAAAAAAATGACACAATTTGACCTCCAACTCGATACCTTGTAGCGGTCGACCCAATGGGTGCATGCGGCCCGTTTTTCTCACTGGGTCAGGGTCAAATTGGGTCGACCCACGGGCTGACAACATTGCTATTTAGGTTAAGATTGGCAATGTGGCAGGTCCAGGGCGGGTATCTCGATACCCATACTCGCCCCATGGCAGTAATTTATCACGGGACGCAGGTCGGGCCTGGTCGATCCTATGGATCTGTACTTTATATGGAAAGTATTAGAAATATTCGCTATTTTCATTATAAGACCAAGAAAAAAATCATAATATGATAAAATGTAGTTAAGTTTTTGGAGAAATTGAAATTTTCACTAATTCACAACTTTATAATAGCTAAAATATGATGTATTATAAGAAAAAATCTAAGTAATTTGACTAAGATGACATGTAAAGTTGGTGATAAGTGCACCAAGCTGGTTCTGAATGGCAAGTCTCAACGTGCGTTGGATTTGTTTAACGGTTTGAGTTGTTGACCGCTCTGAGGGGCATTTGGAGGTAGGGGAGATTCTGGTACAACAGATTTGGAGGAGTTGGGTACATCTGGCAACTTTTGTTGCGTCTGGTACATTTGGTATTTGAGAGAGAATTAAAGTCAAGGTGGAGATTGTTAGAATATGACTTGAATTGATTTGAGTTTGTTTTGTGTTTGGACCTATTTTGTTTGAGCTTTGTTTGACCTTTTTCTTGTATGTTTGGGAAAATGTGTTTGGTTTTCTGTTTGGGATTAGAAGAAGAGTTCTATAAATACTCTTCATCACCCTAGTCTGTAGTAAGGCCAGTCAGGTTAGTTTGTTTGGTTTGTCTGTTCCGTAATTTGGTTTGTAACCTGTACTCTCCTCAAAATCAGTGAAATTTGTTCGCCCCTGCCCGTGAATTAGCTAGCACACATTGTGTTAGTGAACCACAAATTTGTGTTGATCTGGATTGTCGTTTGCACGCTTATGTTTTGACACTTCTTCTCCTTATCTTCTGCCCATGGAGTCCTCTCTCTTCTATTAAATCCCATCAGCAGAGTAGCCATAAAGTCACTAAAAGCCGCCTTCTATCCTGCAGAGGTATTGGAAAGAAGAAACCTTGATCCCAACATCGGGCGACGTTTGAACGTCCCTATTTGAAACCCGACACAACTTTAAAAATGTGGAGGCTGCTGCCTCTTTCATTGAAATGGCGACGTGTGAATAAAGTTGGCCGCCTCATACAGTAGGGACGTCATAACAATTTATTATAAAACTGGTTAGTCTTCATACACGAAATTGGGTGAGTCTAGTAGTTAAAGGTGAGGTCCATTAGTTATGTGATCAAAAGGTCCATGTTTCAAACCTTGTTGCCATCATTTTTTTTCCTAGTTTCCTTTATTTTTCAAAGCATAGTTCTTTACAAGAATCAATTATGATAATCAATTACTATGATTATTATTGTTTCCCGTTACATCTTTTCCTGTCAACGACGCAAATTCCACGACATAAAACCTTCGTTGTATATTTGTAGAAGAGTTTTATTTCCCCTTTTAAATTTATTTTACTTCATCTAGTTCGGGATGTTACAAATCTTGGCGGCGAGCGAAGGACTCACTTTCGTGGAGTGTACTCCTCTCTTGGCTTCCCTTCCACCACT